TCACTGTGTTAGATCTGGAAGGAGCTACTGTGCTGTTTCCTCTTCACCTGTGCCCACTTAACAAAATAACCACTCAGACCAACGCTCTCGTATAGCACTTTGGATTTTGGGGTAGGCGAGCAATAAAAAAATCTATCTTGATTGATTGAATGGGTTGAACGGGAGACGTGATGTGCTGGAGAAGAGTCTGACTGGTTCTGTTAATGCTGGGATGGGTTAAGGGAGTGTCTGGGGCAGTTTGGATAAATACCCGTTTTTCCATCACCACTGAGTTACAGTGTATTTGACAGAAACAGACAGAGTGAACCAAAGCTTTTTCCTTTTCTAAGAATGACTTTGACTAAAGCTGTACTCTTTACAGTAGAGCACGTGAGATCAATTTATCAAACCGCCGACAGTTATGCGTTAAATAAATAGCCTTATTATTTTGTTGGCTTGCAAAGTATTGATTGCTGCTTTAGAACCAGTATTGTTCCAAGGTCTGATGGTGAAGGAGTGCTGTCTGGTTTCCCTAAAGGTCCCGCAGGTGTGGGCTGCAAAGGGTGGCAGTGCCCTATGAATGCCTGCTCAGCAGAATTCTGTGCATCAGCTTTGTGGTGTTCTGAATTCAGTGCTTTCCTCACAAGGTTTGTTGAAGTGGCTAGAGTTAATAGTTTTCTACCTACCTGAAAAGCTTAAATTGCACTAATCTGGATGGAAGATAACGTTCTGCAGCAGGACTTGTATCTGCACAGAACCACTGCTTCTGTCCACACATTGCATCTGCCCTTACAGGCTGCTGCAAATTGCCCAGGGAATCCAAGCCATGACTGCAGTGCCCAAACCAGGCTCAAATTTACCTATTTTATGACAAACACTTACTGTCTCTGTGGATAGGATATCCTGGTGTTGACACAAAGTCTATTTCAATGCTTAACCATCCGTGCCATTAAAAAATTACTCCTGATTTCCAATCAGAATCATCGTTGCCGTGTTTTATTCTCGGTACCTCTTGTCTGTTCATCTCAGTGATGGAGAACAAATAATTCCTTGACTTTCCTGTTGATCTTAGACATGCACGTTTCCTTTTGTTTTAGCACACCAAATTGCTCCTCTTAGTGGAGAAGAGTATAGGAATAAGTGGGACAGGCAGAAAATAGCACCATAATTGGTCTTCTTTTTCCTGGGCAGTGTTTATTAGCAGAAGTGCTTTCTTAAACCAATTGGGCTAATTAGAACCACAAGATTAATTTTGGAGTGTGCAGCCCCTATAGCAGCAATCTGTGTCTGAACTCTGTTGTGTGAAGTGGATTAAAAAAATAGAAAGCTTCTCAAAGTTTTCTGGCTGTTCTCATTGGTCAGCCAATTGATGTCATGTTTGTGCACGCAGACCAACACAGCAAAAACTGGTCCGTGCTGAACAGCTTTCCAGAATGCTGGGCCAGAAATACAAAGGATGAGGGTGTGGGAGGTTCCAACTGATGGCCACATACAAACTGGAAGTGGAGCTGCTCTCAGTGTATGGTGGCCACAGAGTGTGTCCCATAAATAGCTGTTAGCAGAACTGAGTTGTGTAACGCTGCTCCTACCACAAATGAACACTTGATTGCCATCAGCAGTCATTAACTCTTAGGGACAGAGTTAAGTTGGTCCTGGTGTGACTGAGCGAGGAAAAGCCAGAAGCTGCTGTTCTGTTTGGGCACACACAAATTCTGGTACCTTCTGTCTGCAGAGAACACACCAACTCTGTAACGTGAACAGATCTGAAGGTGCAATAATGACCTTTCTTTACATGAGTGCTGTTTGCACTCTGATCGCTGTACCCCGGTGTGCCAGAGCTGCATTATTTCACTCAAGATGTTATCTTGATCACATGCAATCATTAAAGCTCCCTTAGTGCCTCTCAAGTGGAAAATGTTGAGCTTGGCATTGTTGCTGAATTATGATCTGCATAAATACATCCTCTCTTCCAAACTTGCAGTTATGATTTGCCATACACTATTATTCTTTCACTAATGGGTGTTTGCTGTTAAACAGAATCTCTGAGGTTTCCCTTTGCAGTTGGTTCCGCATTGTCTGCCCATCGCACCCCTGAGCAGGTGTGTGCAGGAAATGAAGCTGCTTTTACTTACCCTTGTTCTTGTTTATCCTCAAAAGTTCTGTTTGGAAGTCCCTGTGTCAGCTGTTGCTCAGATGGAGGGCATTGCTGGTGTCCAAATGCAGTGCTGATGGTAGAGGAAGGATCACAAAGCATGCATTTATTCCCATTTAGACAAAATGCAGTCAGTTACCCACAGGTCAAAATGCTCTTGCCAAAAATTGCAAAAATGAAAATTGAACAGCCAGCGAAACAAAAATCTCCCTTCTGCAAAAAAAACCCAACCCCAAATCTATTTGAACACTCCCCAGGCTGCACGAATAGACATGCTGTTCATTAGTGAAGGGATGGTGGAACCGCTGTTCTGTCACACTGCTGCAGCGTGAAGAAAATAAGCATCTTACATCTAGAATTACTGTAAAATGTTTCCTCCATAGGCATCGATTTCTTTGGTAACAAATGTTGTAAGCAATGTTTATTTTTATATGGTCACGCTGAATAGCATCCATCTGGAAGTTTATCTGATGGTATCTGATTTAAGAGACCGAGTGTTTTAATATCTTACCGTAGGTATTCCGGCTGATTAAAAGACAAGATCTTGTTTATTACAGCCATTTTATTTTTCTTTGCTGTTGTACAAACTTCATGTCAGTTTGCTGCAAAGACCACACAAAACATAAGGAGTTGATTGAGGTTTGATGTCGTTTTTTGTAGCTCCCTGTTTCACTAGGAAATTGTCTCCATCAGTTTGTCAAGCTAAGGGGCCAGAGGTGGTAAGATGTGGATGTGACCAGAGGGGAACTTGGATCGATTTCTGGAGCAAAATCCAGAATGGTGACCCTGAAAACTTCCCCCGTCCCTGAGTCCATCCTTGAAGCCTTAAGTGCTATGGGTATTTTGTGTTGATATTCTTCAAATACGTGCTGTTGTCCCTCTGCAGGTCTGGGTGGGTTGGTGCCGTACATAAAGTCTGAACAGCCAGGATGCAGGAACTAAGCATGCCTGTGTGTCCTGAAGGCATTTTCAGAACAAACCTTGTGTGTTCCAATGGGTTCTGACTCCTTGCAAAATGCAGAGGTGTTGGGGTGGCAAGCAAGGATGCTTTCTTTTCAGTCTGCAGGGATTTCAAACCCAAGCACTGACTTGGAGCAGTGGGTTCCTACTTGGAGGGCACCCAGCTGAGATTAATGCAGTGTACATAGCCTGTGCACACAGCAGAAACACATCGGAATCACATCTGCTTCAAAAGTTCCTACAGCCAGACTGCTGTAAGACCTGGGGAAACCATTCCACGTGCCTGTGCTGAAGCATTCACTTTTGACCACTGTGAGGACAGTGAAGAAAACGGACCCTCTGTGACTGCTCCTAAATGCCTCGGGGTGCCCAGTACCAGCCAGTATTGGGCTCACACGGCTAAGTGTTCAGACATTTAGGTTCAGCTCCTGTGTTCCTGTCTGCTCTCCTGCCGTCGCCTTGTTCCCTTTGGCTCCTCAGCTCTGTATGGGAGCATCACATCTTCCTGTCGTCCACAAACCTACGGCCTGGGATCTGTTTTCTTTGTAACGATACGGCGACATATATAAAGCAGCTGACATCAGTTCTGAGAATATTTTCTCGTAGGTGGAACTATTATGTTCACGGTGCTGTAACGCAGAGGCAGTGATTTGCTATGCTAATAAGTCGCTGAAGGAAAACACGGGAATTATTCTGACGACGTCTTATTCCCCTCTAGTGTACGTGGTTGAAAAAGACCAAAGGGCAACAGTGGATCAGCAATTAGAGACGGCACTTCTGCTGGGAGCTGTGAAGGAGGTGGGAGGCTGCGGGTTTCTGTTTCTGGAAGGTTCCGTGCTGCTGTTCTGCTGAAGTGCAGATTGCTGGGCCTCGAGGGCTGCGTGGAATCCCCAAACTCAGAGCTGTGGGGCTGCGGCACTGAGGGATGGGCTCAGCGGGCACGGTGGGGGGCTGAGGGCGCTTCTGCAACCTTCGTGGCTGTGTGGTGATGAAGTACGTGATAATGTGTTCGCTCTGGGCTGTGCCTGGTTGCTGAAACGTGGCTTTGATCCCCAAAATGTGGCTCTGATCCCCAAAATGTGGCTCTGGTTCTTAAACACGGCTCTGTCCATCTGCTGTGACAAACGCACAGCCAAACCCGAACTTCTTCTTCTTCTGATCCCTTCCTGAGTGGGGTTTTTCCACCATCCTTGATTTTTGCCCACACCCCTGTTCACCCCATTGCTTCACCGGCACTGAGGGAACGGGTGGGACAGGGCATCGTCCAGCCCAGCGAGTGTAGGGACTGCAATTAACCTAATTAAAGGGAACGCTTTGTAGCGCCGCCGAAAAGGTCCTTCTCTTGAGTAAGGCCGAAATATCAGCCTGTCCGCCGGAGCGGGGCAGGGAAGGGCGCCGAGATGCGGCCGTGCCGCCTCAGCCCCGCGCTGACCGACGCCGCCTGAGCGCCGCTCCCGCCTTCCCGCCCTCACCGCGGGACGGACGCGCGACCCCTCACAGCGCGGAGCCACGCCCACTCGCGGCTTTTGGCCACGCCCACTCGCTGCTGCGACCACGCCCAGCGCCGGCGGAGGAAAGGGGGCGCGCTTTGCATAGCCACGCCCCCTCATGAATACCCATCCGCCCCGCCCGCCTCACCTCCGCGCGCGTCGCGGGGACGAAAGGAGGGAGGGAGGGAGCGAGCCCGGGGGCGCGCCCGCCGTTCCCTTCCCCCTCCACCCGGGGGGCGAGCGCGGCCCCGCCCGCTTTTTCCCTTCGCCCTCCGCGCGGCCCTGCGCGCGCGCGCCCGCGAGGCGGCGGCGCGCTGCTCCGGAGGAAAGGAGTGAACGCGCGGGGCGGGGAGGTGGGTGCAGAGCCGCCGCCGCTCCCCGGGAGCAGCCGCAGAGCCGCCGCCCCCCCGCGACTCCGCGCCGCGCCGCCCCTCCCCGCCGGGCGCGCGCCCGCAGCGGCGCTGTGCTGAGCGGGAGCGTTGTGTGTGCGGGAGGGCCGCCGGCAGGTACGGGGCGTCTGTGTGTCGGG